ATATATAGAAACGACAAGATTATATAAACTTAAAATAATATACATTGTTCGAATAGCCAACTGTTCGAATAGCCAACTGGCATAACAAAATACAGAGGAAGATCCCTTTCTACATAACAATACAATTTGGTTCTGTCCTCGGCAGAGACAGAGCTCTGAAAGCCGATGACCAATTCCAAACCTTCAATCAAAATATATAAAAATCACGCTACCAAACGACGGAGCAAGGAGAGCAAAATTAACAAACCACTGCACCTAAGGGTCTTGTTTGCTAACAAAACCTAAGAAGGAAAAAACATAGAGAAGGCAAAAACTAAACTAGGAAGTGGAGTTAACATGAGCAAATTCTGCCCAGTCCCTCCATGCAATATCCGCAGTGGCTTTAGCCGGACGTAGAGTGTTTTCAAAAACCCAGAGGTTGCGTGTTTTCCACATCCACCATAGGATGTGTGTGGACAACTGGATCCTGTTTTCAGCCACTGAGTTTTGAGGGAACAAGCAAAGGTTCATCCACCAGGCTTTAAATGAATCAGTGTGGCTTTCTAAACCATCCCAGGAGATAGAAGATAGCTTCCAGATTAGAGCCGCTCTTGTACATTTGAAGAAAAAATGTTCCTGAGTCTCTCTGCCATCTCCACATAGCTTACAAACCTGGTCCACTTCAATTTTTCGGGTTGAGAGGTTGCTCATTACAGGAAGAATATCGTTTATGCACTTCCAGATGAAGTGTTTTATCTTGCTTTTCACTTTGAGATTCCATAGCCTCCTCCTAGCAATTTTGAGCTCATTGTGGTTGATGCTTCCTTCAGGTTTGTCTAAAAGATTCCACTTATGGTTGGCAAAATTGGCATAAGCAGATGCCACAGTGAAGTTCCCATTCTTGTTCCACAACCATCTGAGCATGTCCGGTTTGTGGGGGTTCATCCTAGAGATTTGCAAAATGGCCTTAGCTTCATTGTGCTGAAAGGTCTCCTCCACAAGCTGTCTATTCCATCTCATCCCAGTCTCATCCATTAAATCTCTGACCCAACAAATGTTATCAGTGAGAGAGTTGTGTCCAAAGAGTCTGAAAGCTGGTAAAGTGGGGACCCAGGGATGGTCTCTGATTTTTGTGGTTTTGCCATAAAAAATTTCAAATCTCATCCCACAATGGATAGAATCTTTGACTTTCAGCCAACATTTCCACAACCAGGAACTGTTTTGTTGGGGTTTAACATAGAAGAAATCATTTCTGGGAAAGTAAAGCCCTTTCAGAATTTTGCTCACCATGAGATTAGGTTGTGACAGCATCCTCCAAAATCTGCTTTGATATAAGTGCTTTGTTGAATAGGTGGAGGTCATGAAAGCCTAGCCCTCCTTTGTCCTTGGGCAGAGTAATGAGATTCCATGCTTTCCAATAAATGTGTGAGGAGCTAGTCTGCTTGGTGCTCCACTAGAAATCTGAAATTGAGCTAGAGAGTTTTGTGGTGACTGATTTTGACATTAAGGAGCATGAGAAGGCATAGGTTGGCAAGGCTCCTAGCACTACTTTGATGAGCATATCTTTACCTGCAAAAGAAAGAGATTTGTTTTGCCAGCTCCCAATTCTTATTTTTTTACTGCATCCTCCACAAAGGAAAATGTGTTTGATTTGGATTTACCAATACCTAAAGGTAGTCCAAGGTATTTGGAGGAGGTGACAGAGGTGATACCCAGGAGAGTGTTACAGATGCCAATTTGCAAGTCAAGAGGTGTATTTTTACTAAAAAAAAACTGAGGATTTGGATAGATTTACTTTTGTCCTGTCAGCTTCTGGTAAGAGTTAAGGATTTTCAGCAAGGTGGTGGCATGAAAGAGGTCAGCTTCAACAAAGACTAGGGTATCATCGGCAAAACAAAGGTGAGTGAGGGTAGGGCAGTGTTTAATTAGCTTAATGCCTTGGAGGTTACCAGCAGAGACTTCAGCATTTATGAGGTGGATAGGGATTTCAGTGATAAGGATAAAAAGGTATGGGAGAGGGGATCCCCCTGCCTCAAGCCTCTGGAAGGTGTAACATACCCACAAACATCACCATTAACATTGGAAGAAAATGAGGATGAAGATATGCAGCAAATAATCCACTTCACAAAAGTAGGATCAAAACCCAAAGCAAGTAAAATCAATTTTACACTTTCCCATTCAACTCGATCGAAAGCTTTGGCCATGTCAAGCTTTAAGGCCATATAACAGGTTTTACCCACTCTATGATTTTTCAAAAAATGGATAGCTTCATGGGCAATAACAACATTATCTAGAATTTGCCTATTTTCAACAGAAGCATATTAATTGTGGCTAACACAGAGAGGCAAACAAGGTTTAATCCGGTTGGCAAGTATTTTAGAAATGACTTTATAAACAACATTGTAGAGACTAATGGGTCTGAAGTTGGCCACATTATCAGGATGGGGGCATTTCGGTATCAGGGTTATTAAAGATGGTTTAAACTTTTAAGCAATCTGCCAGAATCAAAAAAGCTTGCTACAACATGACAAATATCAACATTAATCAAGTGCCAGAAGGAATTAAAGAATAAGGAACTCATACCATCAGGGTCGGGGGCTTTTTGCGGGTTTATAGAGAAAACAACCTTTCTGAATTGCTCAGAGTCCACAACAGCTACCAACCTTTCTGGTCATCTCTTATCAGTCTTGGAATTTTGTTGATCTTCCTTTGAGTGATGGTTTGGGTATGAAAGTACCTGGTGTTTTTGTCCCCGAATTTGAGCCATTCTTATTTTATAACTTTCTTTATATACTAGTGCTTTGTGTAGAGAGGCTCTAATTGGGCCTTCATCATGGGCTTGCGTACTGGGATGTTATTTGGGCCTCATGACTAAAACTAACCAAGACCAGGTTACATAACTCCAACCAAACCCCATCTTCATCTCAACTAGTGTGCTTGAAAATTCTTATCTTCAACTTCAACTTTCCCAATCTACTCTCTCCCACTCCTCCTCAACTGCTGTGCTGTACTCAGTACTCGCACAAGAAATGGCTTCTGCAACTAACCTTAATCTCAAATTGCTTGAATGCTGCCATTTCACAACCTCCATTTCCAAACCCACTTGTCCATTGCTCTCCTTGAGGCAAATTCACTTCCACTCTTCTCCTGTTTCACTGAAAACCAAGATTCCACCTTTCAAAATTGTCCCATTTGTAGCCCAGACTTCAGATTGGGCCCAAGAAGAAGAAGAAAACAGTGGGAGTGAGTACGAAAGTGATGGTGCTACAGTGGCTAATGTCGCCGCTGATACATTTGCGTGGGGGACTACAGAGGATAACGTTGACGGCGACGGTGGAAGTTCGGACGAATCTTATTCGGAGCCGCCGGAGGAGGCCAAGATGTTTGTCGGAAATGTGCCTTATGATGTAGACAGCGAAACTTTGGCTCAGCTTTTTGGTCAGGCTGGGGTTGTTGAAGTCGCTGAGGTATCAAAGATTGGGTTTTTAAGCTTTACTGCCTTTTAGTTTGTCTGTTAAATGAAACGAAAGCTCGGTTCGGCGAACGGGCCAAGCTCAAGCTCATTTAAAGCCCGTTTAGTTAGCGAGCCAGGCTCGTCCCAATAATGTTAAACAAAATAGATTGTTTTCATACAGAATGTTAAAGAAACAAAAGAAATTGGTGTAAATTATTTATATCACAGTTACTGTAAGTTTTGATTTGATTTTTCGTGCTAGTGATGTTCGAATGTGGAAGGGAAGACGAAGGCACATTTAACTGGGTGATACTGTTGTAGGTGATTTACAATAGGCAGACTGATCAAAGTCGAGGCTTTGCATTCGTGACTATGAGCACTGTGGAAGAAGCTGAGAAGGCCTTGAAGATGTTCAATGGCTATGTGAGTTGTTTGTTAGTTCCTTGTTTATGGCCGGTTTGTTTGCGTGTTCTGGTTTGTTTACTTTTGTTGGGATACTGAAACAAAAAATCGGTGATTCCCAAACAGTGAGGAAAAGGTGCCATAACTTTTGTGCTTGAAGCATTGGGTTCACGATTTTTGGATTTTGTACTCATCTCCTTTTCTTTTCGTATCGATTTACAGAAGTGAAATTCTGCATTTTCAAGTGATTTTTATAACTTACTATTGCGTCAGGATCTAAACGGGCGAGTTTTAACCGTGACCAAGGCCACTACAAAAGATTCTCGACCAGAAAGGGTTCCCCGAACGTACCATTCTTCTTTCAGATTGTATGTGACTAACTTACATTGGCAAGTGGATAATGCTCGTCTGAAGCAATTTTTTAGCGAGCACTTCAACGTGGTTGAAGCTAGAGTGATTTACGATATGCATACCTCGCGTTCACGTGGCTTTGGCTTTGTCACAATGTCGAGTGAGAAGGAACTGCATGAGGCTATAGCCGCTCTCGATGGGCAGGTAAAACTAGAATGGGCCAGGCCATGAGAATTTTCGGGCTGTTGGGCCAGCTTAGTTTTATCATCTGCTTTTTTTCTTTCTTTCTTTTGATGTGAGTTGTGATTTTGTTCCTTTTTTTTTTTATTTTTTTTTTTCCGTTTTTGGGTGCAGGATTTGGATGGACGGGCGATTAGAATCACTGTTGCTGAGGAAAAACCAATGCGCAGATTTTAGACCACTGTTTTTCTTAATCCAATAAATATAGTGTAGTTTATTTGTTGTACTTCCTTTTTTTCCTTCAGAAGTTCTATTTTAATTTGTATGATCAGATCGAGGTTTATTGCACAAGAACTACATGGATTTTGTGAACAAGAAATGTTTGATTGTTGATGATTTTTCACGAGAACAAGAGGAATGAACCGAGATGTTGATTCAACTATTTATTCTGAATTTTCCATCCTTTTACTCAATCCTTAATGAAGTCAGAAGAAGCTAAACTAAACTCTATCACATTTCAGTTTCTGAAGTGAGTACAAAGTCACCCAACAAGTTGAAGAAAACAAGGTTTGGTTTCTATCTTATCAGACTCATTTCACCATATCATAGGAGAACAGTATACCTCTTCTACTTGATTCGTGTCAAGTTGGGTTTAAAACATCACAAGAGAACTTCATATCAAGTCGATGAACATTTGTGTACAAAAAATATGCATTTTTGGTTGATTTACATACTGTTACACAATGACAAAAAAAAGAAACTTAGTTACGATGGAACCAAGAAAATAATATTCCAAAGGGTTTTGTTAATTTCATGTTCCAGCAAAATGTCAATGCTGAAAACAGCAACAGAGTAATTTTCTGTAACTGGTGAAAAAGATTTTAACAAAAAAACAAAAATACAAAAAAAGAAAACACAGGAACAACAAAAAATTTCAACCTATCACACACAGAGTCATCATGTTGAGAACAAAACCTACCATAAAATTTGCATTAGCCTTCTATATAAGCAGCTGACCCTGGCTGTGTGTGTGACATATTGGCCAAAAAACATTAATGTATGATATAAACAAACACTAAAAGCGCGAATCTTAGAAAAACTGAATAGAGCCTTCCACGATGGAAAATTTTGGGGGTTGCTCACGGTATTTGACTATGGCTGTTGGCGGAAGCTGACCGATGCAAATCTCATGAACAGTGGAGAATAGAGGAAAAAGCTCTAACCATTTTCGATGGCTCAAAACTTCATAAACCTCTTTTGCAGTTGAGACGCCCTGCAATTTTATTTTTTGGATAAATCAGGTAGTCGGTATAATATGACTAAAGATCAAACATGGCTTTAGAAAGAAACCGGACCTGTAACTTTTGGCCCTGTAACATCTCGGCTTCTAGCTCATCGAAAGACCTTTTGCCACCATTCCTAGCAAAGGCCTCAGCACATTTCCTATTTCGTCCCCCTACTGGTAATTCTCAAAATAGAAGAGGTTACTTTTTTTTTTTAATTGTTAATTTTCGGTTCTTGGAAACGAAATCGAAGAATTATTCGTTAGGGAACACTTACGGCAGGTGGTGATTAGATCTGCTACACCACAGCTCTCGAAGAAAGTACTATCTTTGACAGTAGGGAAGAGAAGCTTTGAGATGGCTTTCATTTCTCTCAAACCAATTCTCATGATTGCAGCCTGGAGAATACGTACAACAACTTAGACTGTATGTGATTCAAATTTTTAATGAAAAGAAAATCTTTAGGCCTTTCTTTCACCTTTGTATTATTCCCCATATCCAACCCATCCACAAATCCTGTTTAGATAACAATAATCATGCATCACAATGGCACAGATAAAACTGATTCAAGAAAAAAAGAAAAAAAAATAAAAACACTAAACAGGACGGAACAAGTTATTATTTTACCTGCTGCAATAGCCACAACGTTTTTCAGCGTTCCACATAGTTCAACTCCTTCGACATCTTGGACCTAGGCACCATCCAAAGTTCCGAACACGTAAATAGAACATTAACATATGCCATTATTTAAAAGACCCCACATCATAGGAACCCTATAATTTTAAAAATGCAGCCAATAAACAGGAAATAAACAAACGGGAAAAAAATTCACTCACAGCCGAGACCATAAAGTATGAAGTGTTGAACAGATGAACCCATTGGTCAGCAGTTTGTTTGTCTTTTCTGTACCCAACGGTCGCCTCACTAAATTTCTCCACCGCAATCTGCAGATACAAAGGAATCTTCTCATCACCAAACTAATATATCATCCTATAAATTGCTTCATAACTAGTGGATTGTGCTCTGAATAATCATAAAACAATCAGACGCAAGAACCTCGTTTGCAATGTTTGCACCCATCAAAACACAGCAATTAACTCCTAGTTGATCGGAGATTAGGGAGGAAATCATGCACGGACCCTCCTTCTTAACCTCCATTCCCTTAATGAGGGAAATAGCTTCAGCATTGGGCATTATCTTCCCAACTAGCCTCTTACAAATGCCCTCCATGAATTGGTGAGGTGTCACGAATACCAACATGTTGGCATCCTTCACTGCAAAATTTACTGATTGACTTTCCCAAATTTTCGAAAACCAGCTCCAAAATCAAAATAAAATAAAACTGTATTTGTATTACCTGCATTTTCAAGATCGGGATCAGCAACAACATTTTTACCAAGCTTAACGCCGGGGAGATATTTAACATTCTCCTGCGGGGGGATCAAGACTAATGAGTGTATGATTGTGTAGGTTAAGAACAATTGATTAATTTTAGTCGGGGCCGTATAGGAACACATTACATTTGTTCTGTTGATGACTTGGGTGAGTTTTTCACCGGTTGGCAATTTCTCCTCGTACACCCACATTCTCACTTCATCTATTTCCAGAATTAGAGAACAAAACAACACTCATGATTAACACAATATTCCAGCTCAATCAAAAACAGGGTAATCATCCGAACGAGAACGAATCGAAATCAATGCAGCTAATTTTCACTCAGCTATTAGTTCATACAAGTTTTGATAGTACATACATCATGTACACATACACATAAACAAAAAAATCCAATAAATAGCCAACAAAAAGGAACGCAACATAATTAATTTGTGAATACATATGTATGTGTACCGTGGAAGGAATTCAGCCTGAGCGTGTTCGAGGCGATGAGCTTGGCGGCGACGCTACCCCAATTCCCGCTTCCGACCACCGTGACTCTCGATTTAACGGGCGTCATTTCAGCGACGGCTACTACTCCGGCGGCGGCGGCGGCGATATTGTTAATGAAAAGAAAAAGAACTGGAAAAAGAGAAGGGGCGGAGGAGAGGTAAAATCGAAAAAATTCAATGGCAATGCGGGGCGGAGAGAAGGGCGTGAGTATCAATGTGGTGGTGAGAATGCGTTAAATGAATCTCTGTACTCCATAGCTTCACTCACGTTGTAACTGCCTTTCTATGTTTCTCTCTCATCATATTTATTTATTTTTACTTAAAATAATAAGTACTAATAGCTTTAGGGTGGTATTTGGCATTTATATTTCAATAAAAAATAAATATTTATGCTTTTGTATAGTTAGACATTTTTAATAGTTAGAAAAAATTAGAATCTTAAGTATATTTATATGTATATATTATGTGAATAAAATTTTATATTCTAGACAATATTTCAAATTTTATATAATTAATTTCAAATCGAATATGTAAACATTCAGATCCAAATTTGTATAAATTATGAATACACATTAGCATTCTTAGTCTTAGAGTTTCACAAATATGAATCACTGAGATCGTATCACAAATCGTCGTATCACAAATAGAATCGAATAAATTTATCTACAATATATTATGAATACGTCAATTCAATCTGATTAAAAATTATAACTTTCGATTTATGCATGTTAACAAAAAACAAATAATAATACCAAACTAAAACTAACATATCAAATATATTCAATCTGAAAATTTGTTAAATAAATTCCTACAATTTTTTGTTGTTATACTTATATGGCTAACACAAATTCTTGCGTGAAGCAGCCTATCATTAATTTAGGTGAGTCAACCCGTATTTTGTTAATAAAAAAATATTTATTAATATTATGAAATGTCATACACATTTATGTTATTTTATAGAGTATAACAACATTTTATTTTAAAAATATACATATATATATATATATAAATATGAGTGTCTATAAACATCTACACAAGTAACCTAATTAGAAGCATTAAAAAGATTTTGTGTCAATTGGTGGGGACAATTATCCATCCAATTATAAGTTAATAATCAAAAGAAGTGAATGTGTAAGTTGTATCCCAACTTTTTAGAACATGGAGATCACTAATCAAAAATTATAATAACTAATTAAAAAGCAATAATGCACATGAAATAGTAGGCAAATTTTCTCACTTTTAAGATTACTAGTAATTCTGAGGTTGATCCACATAATAATAGAGGCTTATGATAGATAATACATGAAAATATATAATTTACACATATTGCAGTATATATAAACCAGTTATTTTGATCAAACTCAATGCTCGAGCTCATTGTTAACAGGTTGTCTTTTTCTTGGTAACGAATAATCCTCAGACAAAAAACCGGCAAAAGCTACCGGCCTTTTCCCGCCCGTTGGTACTCTTTCCATCTGCAGACGTCGATTCAAGAAAGCCATGGCATTATCAAAACCTGCAAATGTGTTTTGTGTACAATATATATGCATAAATTAATCAAGAAGAACTAGTAAATGCAGAGGACATTATTATAAACTATACATAATGCTAAGTTCTGATAAACTAGCAGCTTAATTACCTGTTTCAGCTGATAATCTCCTCTGCATGGAAAGCAAACAGAGAAAAAATATGACAGTCCTTATGAGTACCAAACCCATAATTATGAGCTTCACTTAGTTACTACTTCAACACTCTCTCTTATATAAACAATACTTAGTCTACAAATTGGGCCCACGAGTTCGAAAATTTCGTTATCTAACTAATCAAAAGTGTTGGATTGATGGAATCTTTGTCTGGTCCTTGAGAGGATTTTGTTGAGTCATAAGGGAATATGCATCAAGTTTCGTCATTTTAGAGCTTTTCTTTTTGGTTATTTATGAAGCACGAGTAATGGCATCACTGATCAGTTTCTTCTAAAAGAATAAAGTAGTCTGTCTGTCTGTTGTAAGGGCTCCACAAAGCCGACTTAGAAAATTTTCTAACTGCACGGATCAAAGCTATCTGAGCTAGGCGTGACTATATATGAGATTATATATTGTATTATTCATTCATTCAAATTTTCATGGCTTTAGTTTATATGGTTTGTTTATGTGTAATGTATCTCAAGGTGTCCATTAGAATATAGGAACACATGTTCTTGTCGGGTGAAGTGGAAAGTGAGATGGCCAAAATATGTAGGAAATACTTTTATGTATTCGTTTTGACTGACATTTTAAAAAAATTATTTTGAAAATCTTTAAGAATTCCAAATGAAAAGGCTACAGTTGTATCGTACGAGGTATAGTTGAAAGGCTCCCGAAACTGCAGAAGCTATTGGGAGATTCACTGCAGAAGCTATCGGGGGAGATTCAAGAGAATGGTTGAAAATGGCGAGAAGCCTACAATCGTATCGTGCGAGGTATTGCTCAGTGATATAGATTTTAACCCCGGCCACGTGAAAAATTGATGTTCTAATGGAACAAAAGCGTTAAAACAAGTGAAATTACAATGCCCTCACCAAACAAAGAGAAAGACGAAAGCAAAATTACAGTAGGTCTTTTTGTTCTATTCCTTCTTCCTCGAGTCCTTTAGCTGTCCTCTCTTCCGAATGCCAAGGCAGTACCTCAAACGCCAAGCATCAACAACCCATTCTGGTAAAGATTTTGCCAAAGCCCACAAGATGGAATGTGGCCAATAAGGAGTGCACCGAGGTTCGTAGCCTATCCACCTTAGGCCAGCACGAGCATAGCTATCAGTTGACGGGACAAAAAAGGACGATCTTTTGATGGATGCCATCTTTGTTGCCACGTACAATGGTACCTATAAATAATAATGACTGTCTCAGATTTACTCTCTCTCCCACAAATTTCGGATGTTTTATTATGTTACTTGGAAGAAATACCATAAGGGTTCTCATTTAAGTTTGATAATTGTTTTCTTTTCAGCATGTTGTATTCATATAGTGTCATTTGGCAGAAAATTAGTCGTTTTTCGTTAGTTTCATCAGCCTGTTGATGTTCTAGCTTAGATATGTACCAAAACTGAGTTTTTCCTAGACTACATCAGAACAAATACTAAACCTGATGAAAGGTGAAAAAAGAAAACAAATTAAAAATATGAAGAACACAACTTGCAGAAGGCAGAGATTATGTACCTGGCACTGCACATCAATCCCACTATTCTTGTACTCCACATAGAGGCATCTCGAGAACTGGTCCACATATCTGCAAGATAATAAACTTAAACTCCAGTTCTCTCTATATATCTAAGCCTTGATGTGGATCTTGTGATGAAAAGTTCCCATTTTCAGAATCTTGGTTTCTCAAAATTCACTAGTTCAGTAAACAAAACAAAACCGGTAACATTGATCAAGTATTTTAATTAGAAAACACCCAAAATCATTAAAATTCCAGAACCTCTCATCCAGTAGCGTAATCAGAACATAAGATAGCTACAGAGCATAGGCTAATAACATCGATCTACTTGTACTAAGCCAAATCCTAATATCAAGCAAAAAAAGAGCAAAAACCACATAACCAGACAAAACAAAGCAATTTGACAATTCACTTCTTAGACCCATTTGACCCTTATCTTGATAAATCAAGTAACCAAGTGTTAGAACCCATAAGTCCACTCTAAATCCACAAGAACAATCACCCCGTTGCCAGGGCTACTGGACGAGCTCACTACGTAACAAGCTTGAGTTCAAAAGACTGAATTTCTACCAAAACAAAACAGCAAACAAAAAAACACATCAAACCCCAAGAAAGTGACAAAAAAATGGCAAAAAAGAGAAGGTAAAAACTAAAAAGTAAAAAAAAAAAAAGGAAAAAAAACTCACGCTTTTGTAGCAGCATAAACCGAATAAAGTGGATCAGATGGAATGACAAAAGCAGCACCGGATCCAATATTCACAATAGCCCCCTTTTTCCTCTTCACCATCGCCGGCAAGATAGCTCGGGTGACTTTAGTGGTACCCTCGACGTTGACCTTAATCAAATCGCTCAAAAGCTTGTGATCCACCTCGTGCAAGAACCTCGCGTACGGATAGGACACGCCAACGTTGTTGATCAGAACCCCAACATCCAAACCCTCGATGGCATTCTCAACCCTCGAGACGCCGTCATCCAGATCCCCGGCAAAATCCACCACCACGTTCTTGATCTGGGCCGACCCGTATTTGGATTTGATGGACTCCGAGACCTCGTTGAGCTTCTCCGGGTTACGCCCGACCAGGACCAAGTTGAGCCCTTTCCTCGCGAGCTGAAAGGCGAAGGCTTTGCCGATGCCGTCGGTGGGGCCCGTGATTAAAGCCCACGCGCCGTATTTCCTGAGGTTTTTGCCGGGTCGGAGGAAATTGACGTAGACCCATTTGAGGATCGAGATTGAGAGCTTGAGGAGGGAGAAGATGGATAGTGATAGGAGGAGGAGAAGCCATGTCGGCTGGGATTTGAGCTGTTCTAAGATGCACTCCGCCATGAGAGTGTGAGCTATGATTATGAATCTCCAGTTTTTTTCTGAAACAGTATTATATATATAGTAGTTATAGTTATTAGGCCAAAATGGAAAAATGAACTCTTTTAGACCAATAATTTCCATAATCGAGTTAGAATTTATTATAATTTAACTTAATTTCAAAAGGATTATAGTTATTTGGGTTTGTCATTTGATTGGAAGCATTTTAATGGTAGTTGTCGAATTATATAATAATATTTGAGTTATTTCATTCCAATTTTACAATAAAAATACAAATTCAATTTACTCAAATTTTCTTGTATAATTATATTTTCGTCAAACAATCTTTGTAGTAAGGATATTATATTACTCAAATAAAATAATTTAAAAGTACGAGAGGCCGCTTAATCATTAGACAATTATATTTATTGAACAAATATTCGTATTTTCATATGAAGGGTCAACCCGCCTAAGCTCTATTTTCGACTAATCTACGTTATATAATAAGTTAAGGGAAATGCTACGGTCCCGTTACGGTACCATTCTGTCGGGATTTGTAATCGTTAGATCATCATGTAAACATCGTGAATAGTTGATCTAACGTTTACAAATCTCGACGGAATGGTTCCGTCACGAGACCTTAGAATCTCCCATAAGTTAAATTCAATTAAAAAAAAAAAAATACTGATAAGCAATGGAGAAGGTGAGAAGAAAACAGTTGGGGGGATGAAATATTATATTGGGTACTGCATGAATCATCAATGGGTTGGGTTGGCTGTATAAAATAAATAAATACTCTTATTAGCAAAAGTCTGCTATGGTTGGGAGCAGTAGAGTAGATGGCCTCAAGTTAGGCAGCCTGTTTTTTTAGGTAGGTAACCCATAACTATACACTACTCAAAAGAAGACACAAAGCTTGGTGAGAAGAAGAAGAAGAAGAAAATTAGAACATATTAGAAACCTCACAAACTTTGATAGTCACATCACATATAAAGCCTTTACAACAATGGAGATCGATAGAAGAAAATCATTAAGATTTGCTAGTCGGTCGTCATCCGGATCTTGCCCAAGTCGAACTCTCTCTATACGCTTCCCAATTTTGTGCATTAAAATCCCACATCTGCATCAGCTTTAGAAACAGCAAAGCCATTTTTTCTGCATATATCAACAAACTAATGGAATCACTTAACTAGAACAATTAAAAGAAGATCAAAAGTACAAAAAGAGAACATAAAAACCTTGTTTTGGTCCTCGAAATATTGTTGTGTTTGAGTCGTATCAATACTCGGTGGTGGGGCTGTACTTGCAGCAGTGCCCTTAGACTTCTTTT